GTGCCAAGTTATACTGAAATCAGATCAAAAATGTACAAGGAGTAGCGTTTTAAAGGAATTTCACAGAAAATTCTATTTTTCGTAACCATGGCAACACCGTTCATCGAAATCAAAATTCGATGCACTATTTTATGTATCTTTGTGTAGTCTACTTGTTTGCCAAGTTATATTAAAATCAGACCAAAACTGTAGGAGGAGTAGCGTTTTGAAAAATTGTTTACAGACGGACAGACAGACGGACGGACGACGGACACCTTACTATCGCATAAGCTCTTCTGGTCTCTGACCAGTAGAGCTAATTAAAAAAAAAAAGAGCAGTATGGTTTATGCACTGAAGGTTGAGTGTTCGAGTCCAAGAGGATCTTGCTTTTTTGTTAGCTCAAGTGAGCTTTTCTGATCACATTTTGTCCGGCGTCCCTCTGTCTGTCCGTCTGTCTGTAAACTTTTCATATTTCTGACTTCTTCTCAAGAACCGCTGGGAGAATTTCAACCAAACTGGCCACAAAGCATCCTTGGGTGAATGGGATTCAAGTTTGCTCAAATAAAGGGCCAAGCCCTTATTTAAGGGGAGATAATTGGGAATTAATAAAAATTTGGTGGTATACTTTAAAAATCTTCTTCTCAAGAACCACTGTGCCAGGAAAGCTGATGTTGAAGCATCCTGGGGTAGTGTAGATTCAAGTTTATTCAAATCATGACCCCCGGGGGTAGGGCGGGCCAAAATGGCCGACCAAAGTTTTACATAGAATTATATAGGAAAATTCTTTAAAAATCTTCTTCTCAAGAATGACAAAGCCATAATTCATCATATTTATATGGAAGCATCCCCAGGTAGTGTAGATTCAAGTTTGTTCAAATCATGACCGCCGGGGGTAGGGCGGGCCCAAAATGGCCGACCAAATTTTTACATAGAAATATATAGGGAAATTCTTTAAAAATCTTCTCAAGAATGACAAAGCCATAATTCATCATGTTTATATGGAAGCATCTTCAGGTAGTGTAGATTCAAGTTTGTTCAAATCATGACCCCCGGGGGTAGGGCAGGACTAAAATGGCCGACCAAAGTTTTACATAGAAATATATAGGAAAATTCTTCAAAAATCACCTTCTCAAGAATAGCAAATCCATGATTGGTCATGGGACTACTTTTGGATTGAAACTTTTCAATATTAAACCAATATCTACTTTTCCTAGCCACAGTGCTCAGGTGAGCGATGTGGCCCATGGGCCTCTTGTTTTGTATAAAGGATTCTTTTTTACCAAATATTTTCCTTTAAAGTAACAATACGGCGCATCTCTTGAAAAACAGACATGTTAAAATTTTCCTATAGGATTTGGAATTTTTTTTCATACTCATAAATGTATACACTTTTAGAAAATTACAAATTTCAAAAGTAAATAATTCTGATTATTTCATTAAAATTAATAATTATTAATGGTCCAAAAATATATTCATCGCAACGTGTTCAAGGTTCCACATTCCATGCTATCGAGCATGCGTATAGTTTTCAGAAACAAAACAGCATGGTAAGAGAAGGAAGCCAGATAGACATGCTGCACTGACAAAGTCGACCAAAACGAAAAACAAAACCAAAAATAGGGCTTGAAATTAAAAAGCAACTTTACTGACAAAAATTTAGTTGGGAGATTAATATAATCATATTATATGATGGCTCGCGAAGGTTCTACCATACAAGTTTGTTTATACATGTTATCATTTTTCGTATCTCCATGGCTTTCAATGAAAAAAAAATCAGTGTAAACTCATTGTTAAAATGCACTTATGACATATAAATTTATTGCCATTTGAAGTGCAAATTGTATTGGAACTACAGAAAGGTATTATGTTTGACATTTTGCCGCGATGACGTATGATTTTCTTTTCCTGCACCCCAATACACAAAACGTCAACATTTGTACTTAATTATGTTAAATTCGTCTGAATGCAGACTATTATGTTAAGTATAATTAATTTACCGGAGAGTTAAGATATTTTGATTCTCAGAATTGATTTTACTTAATATTCCATTATAATTGAAAACCCTATATTGTATGCACGTGCTATTTTAGAATTCACGTGGTACAAGTAAACAGATCTAAGTTGTACGACCCTTGATTTTCCGGCAGATTCTAATTACGTTAATTTTGTATGAGGATGGAATATTTATTTTTCTCAATTGCTTAACTCAACGTTTTACCTTATTCTTGAATGATATATTGGGTAAATTTGAATGAAAAAGCACATGATTTGCAGCCGTATTGCCGCTTTAAAAATATATATTTATAAATAGCTTTTGTAAAAAAAAAAAGTTTTACACTTACCAGGAAGGGTGACTCAAATTTTATGTACCTTTCAAGAAAAAAATTAAATCCTAGCAAAAGAGTTAGAAGTATTTCATTAATGATCATGAATATCCTTTGTTTTTTGTTTGTTTTTTTTAGATTTATGAGAAATATTTCTGTGTCGTTAATATAACAGAGTCATCTGTTCTCTGCAACAAGTGTGCACATGTTTGTTATAAAAAACAAAAAAAATCTCAACAGTTCAAACAGTGCAACAATCACTGATAACCGTGTCACGTTCACTGATGAAGAATATCAACCCCCTCAGAAACTCTCAAAATCTGTACCCCAGAGCAGTCCTCCATCAGTAAGATTGGCAATTCCAAGTACCAGTACAGGTCATTCGTTTTGCTTTGTATGCAGAAAGACAGGGCCAAAACTCTTAGTGACACCAACATACATCCGTTTTAGGGCGTACGGCGTACATTTAAAATGATGTGTTTTTGACCCACCCAACCCCACCCCCTGGATCTCGGTGTTGTGCTAGTCTCTGTCAAAATGGTTAACTTTCCATTGACGCAATTGAGAAAGTAAAAGCAATTAAAGACTGGAGTTATTTAAACAGGACTTCAATTCTTGAGTTACTGCAGCAAGCAAGAGATGAAGTTATACGGAAAGAAAATTCAAGCTCGATTTTGATGATCCAGCAGGTTTTTCAAATCAGGATTACTTCAATCTTACAGGACTTGAATAAGAACAATTCGATGATTTGATGAATTCAGTGAGTAACATAAGATCAACGAAGTCCAGATCTTTTCGCACATGTATAACGATTCTTCTTACAAAGCTACGGTCAGGGCTGGACAACCATTTGTTGGCTACTCTGTTCAACATGAAAAAATTTCAGGTATGTTTATTTAATTTATTTTTGCAATTTTTTAAGTCCAAAACTTGGGAAACTTGGACAATGCTTTTACATGTTGTCCATAGTCACCTAAATATTTTATTGTAATTAATCATTGCTTCATTTTCTTACTTTTATATTCTAATGATCCTTTTTATTTTATAGCAAAAAGACAAAGATATCAAGTAAATGATTTATTTTTACAATAATTGAATATTCAGGACTATCTCTGAAAATTAATTATACATTTTAAAAAGTTTTATCGTTTCAGCAACTTAAAATTTCGCAAAATTCTAAGTTTCCGTCTTGAATATCATAAAATTGATAATCTAAACAACAATTTATTTTTTATAGATAAGAAGAGCCGTTCATTCTGCAAGAAAGGCATTGATGTCAGGATTCGTCCCTCAAAACCTTGGGTTTGCGCATGTCTGCACAGAGGAAATCAATCAGCAACATACACGGCCTCTTGCCCAGGAAATGTTTGCAAACATTTCTTCTACCCCTGCTATTTTAGTGTTGGATGGGACATACATCAATATTCAGTGGCAATTACACGTTCGGTAGAAGATCTTACAGTCTCTACAAACACCGTCCACTCTTAAAACCAATGATGATCGTCTCAACTACAGGCTATATTGGCAACGTCCTAGGCCAAAACCTTTCAGACAGGAAAAAAAAACGATTCTTCTATCCTGAGCCATTCTATTCAATCCAATACCGAACAAATCAAAAATTGGACAAAAGAAGATGTATTTTTAATTTTAAGTAAATGCAACAAACGTATTAATCATTTCGCTCCCATAATAATAAAAAAAATTAAACATTTAATGCAAAAACTTCTCTGATTTTGAATATGATTATGAAAATCTTTTTTAAAAAACTAAGCTGTTTTGTTTTTTCAGTTCATTATACTGTTTTCTGTAAATTCTTTACAGACTTAGATTAGCTATTCCAAACTAATTTCAGAATCGTTCAAGTTTCATATCATCTTGGTAGGTATTACCTTGGCGGATTACAGGACAACCGTTAAACAACATACAGATTTAGCGTTCACATGCATGTTGCCTATGTAAGACCAGCCAGGTAAGGACACAAACAACCAGCCAGCCCAAACTTAAATGTTGGGTGCTAAAATTAGATGATGCATCAAGTGTTAATGCTTGGGATGGTGGTGTGTGCATCGGAATTGCTTGAACAAGTCCACGGCTTGCACCAGGAGTGTCATTGATAGGTTGGGTTGTCGACATTCCTGATACAGGAAGGTGCTCGTGACTTTCAACAGGAGCGCCACTGCAATGTTGAGTTGTTATAGGGGCATCATCACAAGAACATGTACAACATGTTTTCGTAGAATCCTTCTATTTATTATTAAAAAGAAGTTTTCAATCATTTTATTTGATTTCAGGGTTATATGCACTTGTTGTTTCATTATTTTTCCTCATCTCTTCATTCATCATCTTCCTCTCTTCTTTTACAATACTTGAAGGAAAATGATTTTTACCATAAGATTAAAATTTATATACTTTTACTAGCATTTTTGTAATATGCAACTTAAGGTTGGTCCCTACTCAAACGTGTCATCACAATTTATCGGATATGATTATCGATACGAAATGTTAAAACCACATCCGTCTTTACAAGTTCTACCGGGTTAGTACCGTTATTGGTTTAGTTATTATATAGCGCCCAGCATTTCCAGTTGGCACTTTTAAGATTACGTTCGTGTTTACCGGGATGCCAGGTTTTAAAGGCAGATTGTTAAAGACTCTCTGGTTAGGAAAATTGAAGGATTAGATAAAGGAAGAAGCAATCGAATAAACAAAACAGATTAATAACATGTGACGAAACAAGTGGTGTGCCAGTAAGTGACTTAGATTACAGTTATCATTATCATAGAGTTATGGCTGTGGCGGTGAGAATATTCATGCCGTTAGAGAAGAAGAAACATATTCGGTTTAGGAAGATGAGAAAATAAATCAGTGGAGAGTGGGCAGACATGTAGTTGAGCTTGGGGGTCCTTGCGGATGGTCTAAGCAGTTGTCAGTTATGCGGACAGCCACTGCAATTGTTAAATTGTGTAGTGGAAAACAAAATGCGGCCTTGCACATGTGGCCCTACTACTTGTCAAGTGCAAATTTACAGACTGTGGGCTAGTACTGAAGTGGCAACAGGAAGCAAACACCAGACTTCAAATGGCAGAAATGCATGGGATGTAAATACCAAACTAGCAGCAGGTAATCTGTATTTCATTACATGGTTTATTCACATATTCAAATTGGATCATGTGGGTTATTTTTATTTTAAGAATAGTAATAGTCAGTATATAAACCTGATAATGTGACTTGCTTTTTTGTTAAAAGCAAAGCACCTTTATTCTCAAACATACATATGCACACAGTGTACCTAATTATACACACACACATACAGAAAATAAACAAGGACAATCATGTCATATATTCACTTTCCGTGTTGACTTGTTTATAATTTGAGAACTCATTTCAGGAATAATAAATGGAGGATTTGCCGATTTGGTGAAACACATGTAAATTCACTTCTGGCTGCTTGAAACATACCAAGCGTTTCTCAGATAACTCTGAAGAATAGAGGAAGAGAGGTCGGGAAACAATTTGGACAAATGGCAGGGGAAACTTGTAATGAAAGTCTGCAGGAGGAGATGAGATTGTAATTGTTATATGCCATTTTCTAGCAATACATGATCATGACCTAGTTATATTTTAATTTGCAATTATTTTTTACAAAATTATGTCATTAATTAAAAATATTATTGTTTAGGAGTGAAGGGAGTCTGGCGATTATATCTGATGGTGCTTGGCAGAAGCGGGAAACCGGGAGAGCTTATAATAGTTTTACAGGTAAATGTACCAAGTATCAAAACCTATACATTGTAGAGACTAATTGTCACATGGACAATGGTGGTCCTCTGCTTTTGAGAAATCATTTTTTTTAGTTTATTAATATGTTTGAATAACTAATGTTTTACATTACCCCTCTCTTATGTCTAACCATTGTCCGAAGTCTGCATATAGCTCTCTCCTACTCGTGGCTGCTTGATTACCATAAAGTTTCGTAATTTTGAATATTTATCGCTATTGCGACATTGTATTCAGTCAATGACAATTTTTGTTTCCATCGCAATTGAAATCAACAATTGATATCAGCAGTATACAAAAAAATATTCCATTCACTATGAATGGGTATTGAAAGAATGCATCAAAGTTCATCATCTGACTATACTTTACTCGTATTAGTCAATATTTTAATGAGTTGCCAGTTTATATTCTCTTCTTGTTCAACCACTATAAAATGGGAGAGGATCGTACATTTTGGCCGTGGTTTGTGATGACAGTGTCTAACTTATATATTGGAATACAAGTATCTTTATTTTTACAGGACTTGCCTCTCAGTTGGAGAAAAATCGAAGAAAATAGTCCGTTTTTCAGTAAAGGGAAAAAAAGTAGGGTATGTGCAGCTTCCAAATTAAAGGGTAATCCGCCCAGGCAACATAAATGCTGTAAGAACTCAACTGGATTGGCGAAGGCTATGGAGCCTCAGCCTGCCATGGCCTGTGAGATGTTGGAGAAGATAGAGAATGTAGGGGGAAAGGTAAGTACATGCAGAACAAAAACAATCCATCAATTTTTAAAAAACTAATTGTACAATCAAATCAGTCAAAACATAGAATTTTTTTTTGGCTGTACAACATATTAAAATTTTTTAGGTAGATACTGTGATTATGGACAACGACTCAACTACCATGGCAAGAGTAAAAGATAATGTTGATCCCAATATGAGCAAAAGATCTGACAGTAATCACACGAAGAAGGGATTTACGGGTGCTTTAGTAGAACTGAGCAGCAACAATAAAGTTTTAAGTTGTAACATAACTTTATCTATGTCCTGTGCTGGTATTACTGAAGTAAAAGCAGTATTAAATTGTTTGTATTTGAGTGCATGCCTGAAAAGAAGAATGTTCAATGGTTTAGCCATATTTGTACATGTACGGACAAGTTTCAATTATAGATGAGTTGTCAAAAAATGCATTTAAATGATTTTTTTTTAACAAATTTACTTGTTATGTTTTATAATGCATGAAAATGATATTTAAGTGTGATTTTTTTTAAAAATATGTTTGTTACTGATATTTTCGAGTTGAATTTGTTTGATCGGCAAGGGGGGTATACATGATCTAGAAGGTGTAGAAAAATAAAAAGCCTGAAAAGTACTAAATTTTTTTTGGCTTTCTAGTTGCAACAGATATAAATCTAAAATTTTAAATGGAAAAAGAATGTGTTTATCCATTACTTTATGAAAAAATGTATAAAAATGACGATATTGTAAAAAATTTCAAAGCACCAAATTCATATCATATTCCAAAAAAAAGTTATATTATAAAATAAATATTCATATATGAGACTGGTTATGCATTTCCTACATATAAATGAATAAATAAATACATTTGAGAGTAATTTTGCTTTGATATTGCTTTTGATATGAGCCATACCGTAAATCTGGAAATTTTTACGTCGATTTTATTTTGCGAATTCGGGTCAAAATACTGTTGATTAATTTTCACGTTTCAAAATTTTGCGAATGACAACTGTTTTGTTTACATTTTCTTACTGGTAATTTATTTTTAAGAAAAAAATATTTTTGCGAATGAACTCGCAAATTTGCTAAAAATTTATCTACAGCAAAAATTTCCAGATTTACGGTATATTGAGCGTGGATGAAATAGTGTCGTGAAAGAAGGGGGTATACGTCATCGAAGCACTCTAATTTGAAAAATAACATGAAAAGTTATTTATTTTTTATGCTTTTTTTTAGATTAAGTGTTATTCTAATGATTCCAAAAGAAAAAAAATTCCATTTTAACCATTTAATCTCCTGTGTAGGGACCTACCTTAACTGTTTAAAATTGCAAGTCTGTCGGAAGGGACGTTAAATGGTGCCCCGTATTAAAGATTACAACCCCCTTCGCACGTTAAAGATCGTTTCTCTTGTTTTCGAAAAAGAGTAGGCTCATTGAGGTCCGCCGGAGGAACCCAAAAAATTACAAAACTCTTCGTACAGTAAATTCATACCGCCGAAATATGGCTGAGATATTGCCGACCAGGCGTTAAAAAGTAAAAATCATCAATCTTCCCTTTTTTACGCCCCTTCCCCGTCACTGGCAAAGCGAAAGCATTCTTTTACAATTGTACAAATTTCGCTCTCTGTCGCTGCAGCTCTTGTAGGATTCAAGTTCTTAAATCTCGTGACAAAGAGAAAGTTTATCTCACATTGTCTTTATTAGTGACTTTTTCCGATCAAAAGAGATATCTTCCCTTTATGCATAAAATGGCCCTGTACTTGTACTTAATAAGTCAACCATCACTCTCTATTTCCAATTCATATACATGTATCAAAATATAATAGATAACTGATGCTTTTATTTCAAAACTTCACCAGAATTTCGGTAAACCTCGTTTTGCGGCTAATTGTAGTCGGCGCGCTCGCGCAACGGATTTTGTTTAATAAATTTATCGCTTATACAGCATCGGGCTGGATATCCTTTACTAATCAAAGAACTGAAAGTACTGATGGGTGTTGATTTTCTGATGGTTTCAATTAAAATTAAGGAAGTTTGTTAGAATTAAATAAAAAAAAGAAAATGATACAATTATACAGAGTCAAAAGGGTAAAGTTTGTTTTGATCTCACCATAACCTTAGAATGATATGCCAAAAAGTATAAGACTTTTTCTCTGTTCAATTTTTAAAAATAAATTAATAGGGTATTTATCTGACCAAAAGTTTGTTTTAAACGGGCTATTGATAGCATAGTCATTTTTGCAACCAAATTTTCTCCCCATCCTCAGACCTCTCATAAAGACGTTAATTCTTAGTAGTGCTCAACCTCCCATGCAGAGTTGTCGTTCGTTCCTCTCTCAACCACCTCTGGTGAATGTATGAGCCTATGACAGTGAGTGAATAGTATTATTATTTTAAAATGTAACAAGGAATATTTTTTAAACACTGATACAAATGTATGGCAGCTTATAGCCATGAATATCAAGTCTTTAAAAAGAAGTTTAAACTCTTAGAGTCTAGGGTCATAACGTTATACTGGTAAATTTTAATTTGATACATTGGCGTCGGAAACAAATTGAAAAGGGGGGAGGAGGTAAGTGAAAAAAAAATCGAATCTGAAAAATCTTAACAAGCCCCAAAAAAGGGGGGTTTGTATCTATTGTCCAAACACGAAAATCCTTTTTCGAAAGGGGGGGGGGTGAGGGGATCAAACTTCTTTCAATACCAACTTTTGTTCTGTCAAACTCTACAGTTACTATACGTACCCTTCTTGGACCACACTGCAACGTGCCTGTTGAAAGTGGGGGCTAAACCTACGCTCCGATGTTTAATATGATGTCTATATGTTTTAGCCCCCCTCCCCCGAGAGGCTAATTCCAAAATTCGATTAAATTTAGGACTACTCTTGCACGAATTGTGGTAAGGCATATATGGATAAAAGGGGATCCGTATCCCTGGAAAATTCAAATTTATTTAAACTGACATAGTAAAATTACTACAGCTATGCCTTTGATCTCTTCCCTTGCAATTTGAGCCACCACCACCTATGAAAATTTTTCTGCATCCACCTAACAAAGGAATACAATCGGGCTCGGGCTGTCGACATGAATATAAGCGATAATGCTTAAATTATGAAGAAAATCGCAGTCATTTGAGTATTTTAATGCAGGGAGAAAATACTTTTGTGATATTGGGACGAGATGGACGCGCCGAATACAATTAGCCCGTCTTGGCGTTACAAACGATATTACGTATCTTTACCAGGCACTCTGCTGGTCGGAGATTCAACGAGACAGCCGAGCGTCTGGTTGAACGAGACTATCAACTCAGGTAGCCTCCTCCTTGTTCTCTGCAGGTCCAGGTGATGCTATAATTTTTCTTGATACAAAACAGATGAGTTCCGATTATGGTTTATAGAGACGTTCCTACATCATGCACAAGAACAGCCCACTATTGAAATCCATGGACTAATTTGTGGACACAGATGGCTATATACTTCATGTAATTGGGGCCTACTTTGCCCTAAGCAACGATGCTTCTATTACAAACATTTTTGAAAGGCAATAACGAAGCTAGATCCTGGCTTCGGTAATACAATTAAAGTTGTGGATCGTGGGTTTCATAATGCAGTTGATTTTTAAGGAGAGGCAGGATTTCCCTTAAAAATGCCATGATATATCAAAAGAAGCAAAGCAACATCCCAGGTAGCACAAAACGTTTTCATAACATTATATTCGGGTTGTAAGGATGTTATTCTAAAACGTTTTTGACATAACGTTTGAAAAATGTTTTTATAACGTTTTATCTAGGTTATAATGACGATTTTAGAAAACGTTTCTCAAAAACATTTTAAAAATGTTTTTCATAACGTTTGATACTGGTTGGACGGAAGTTTTTTAAAAACATTTTTGCATAACATTTTTAGAATAATTTTTATTACTTAAAAAGCATAGTAAAAAGTGTTTTCACATTCCATTGTTTGGGGGAAAAAATATTCTTAAAAACTACAGTATGATATTAAGAATATATTGCACAGTATGTGGTGTATTGTGTCACGTTTACTCAAATTTAAAAAACATTAAATTGAATTAAAATTGTAATTAATTCTAGGTGCAAATGTTACCAGAAAACATGAATATAACATTGTTTTAAAATGTTTGGAAAACATTGTTAAAACGTTATAGAAACAACAAACATCTATATAATTTAATTCTTAAAAAAATACATTTACTGATTTAGCATTTACTTTTTTGTTTGTTTGTTATTGATTACTAGGGGGTGTCTTTTAAAGCATATTGAGGGGGGGGTGGACAAAAAAAAATTTTTTCTTTAAATTCAGTTCTTCTTTTATTGTTTTATGCCACATTCCTAAAAGCATTGTGAAAAAATGTATTAAAAGCCGTTTTTAATGTATTTTTCTAAGATGTGATGTAGTTCAACAAAGTAAGGCAGTGCATTTTATTCACTTGTGTTGTTTCCTCCTTGATAATGTGTTTATCAAAAGTTAATTGAGTCGCACAGCGGGATGCCGTGGTTAGCGCTCGCTCCTTGCTGCAAACTATTTCCACGTGATCTATATAGGTCAACTTATCAAGATTTTGAAAAACCGGGCAGCATTCTTGAAAGACAAAGAACAGGATTAAGGTAATATTTTACATCATCGTATGGTATGTTGAATTTAAAGTAGTATTCAATATGTATACATATATTAAGAAATTGTATTATAGTAGTAAGTGTATGTATAAGCCTAAATCATTCCTTGTAAATGGTTGAACATTTCACTGATATTTGAACTGGGCGGGTAATTTGTTGTTTTTGAAGTAAACTGATCATTTAAGTTTATCATGATTGTGCATTTACATAAATGTTTTATGACTTGTGTCTAGTGTGAGTTTTCTTAATCAATGTGTACTTCATGTGTAGTATAATAACCCCAGGCTAAGAGATAGATTTTAAAATTGAGAGCTTCAAAACATGATTTGAATAGATCGAGTATGTTTGCGAGGGGGAGTGTGTGTAAGTGTGTGTGTGTGTGTGGGGGGGGGGGGGGGGGGCTTAACAAGTTAAATACTTCATTGAAAATGTTAAATGATTTGTATTTATATTCAGTATCATGTATATATTCACAATTTACAATTCTTGGAAATAAATACATGTATCATATTTCATTTACAGCGGCTGTTTGCAAAGACTTAAAATACCTTTTTAAAGATCACATGTAGTGAGAGGAATTTGACATAATAAGGTTTACTTAGGCACACCATGCTGGAGGGATTTACCAGGGTATTTATTCTTTAAGGTATGTTTGAAGTTTCCTGACAAGAATGTATTACAGAGATAGATTTATTTAGTATACAATATATATTTTATAGAACTTTTGCCCTGTCAAAAATAACAACAACAAAGTTTATTTTTTTTTATAAATAATTTTAGAAAGACTTTCCTTGTATTTATCG